CCCCAAAACCCCAAAACCCCAAAACCCCAAAACCCCAAAACCCCATTCATCATTTAAATTATTTTATACTAGCGAGAGCAATGAAAAACGAGGAGATAAGCATCGATAGACAGTGTAGTGCCCCTTCACAGCAAGATGAAGCTGAGAAAAAACCTGATCCAACCATAGTTTATCGTACAGTGACTAAAACTGCACATAGTAAGAGATCTAGAAGTGTACTTCTCCACAAGGTGGGTCCTTCAAGTCAAGATGCCTCTCAAGGTAATCAGAAGGTGTTAAACTCTTGATTTAAGAGCCCGGGTAAGCAAAGTAGTCCGATAAATAAGCCACGAATAAATTTCAAGAAGCATCACTACAGAAAGAGTTCGAATTTCAATGCAAGTAGTAGAGGTAATTCACTTTTTGACCTTTACAGCCCAAAGCTTTACTGAAAAGAAGGAGGAAGCATCTGAAAGTCCAGGAATGTACTGTATCCCCAACTAAGAATATAGTCATAATTTTGATTTTGATAAGAACTTTGAAGAATTAGGCACAAATTCCATAAAAATAGAATCTAAGAATCCCAGCCAAACATTCGGTACTTTCAATCATTACCTGTAGGAAACTTAAGCAATAAATGCAAGCGTAGTGGTTAATATCTTAGACATTAGAGAGAAACAGCTTAGTCATGCAAGAATTGGCAAACTTTCAACTTCAAAGGTAACTAATACCTCTGAGATGTAGATACATAGAAATATTTCAGCTCAGAAGTCCAAGCTCAACAGGAAAAAGTATATAATTTGATTTAAGAAGCAACCTTTAGGTTTAAGCATGAACCCTCGTTTAATATCAGGAGACTACATGCAACTACATATAAGGCAGGCTTTGTTAAGACTAGGCCCAAGATCGAAGATCTTGGGCCTCAGAGAGCAGAGACTTACTTCCATGTCACGCAGGTATCATTACATGCTGAAATTTAGGCGATAAATAGCTCTCAAAATCTGGCAAATCCCAAAATTTCTCCGACTAAAAATACTAGAGAGGGTCATAAGGCAATCTGTAGTACAAAATCGATTGAAAAGGCTAAGAAATCATCATGAATTAGACAAATGGAGAAGATGTAAGCTTGCTTGTTAAACCTTAGCTTGAAATCTTCATCTCTTGCTCACCATAAAGACCTTCAAATGAAATATATTGCTCATAAAACCTCAAAATTTCCATTTAAATTACTCAGATTTCTGAAAACCCAAAGTCAGCTTAAACCAGAACCTCCAGAGATGAAGATCATAGGAGAAAATATATCAGAAGTCTTAAGAAACACTTTTGTGCAGAGAGCGCTGAACACAGCTTCTGAGCTCCCTCAAAGACAAGTCACCGAGCCACTTCTTAAGAAAGAAATTTTGGAAGGAAAACAAAGCTCTGATGTTGATGAAATATTACACCTAGAGAACTCTAGAGATAAAGATATTGATAGAAGTAGCACACAAGGAATCAGCCATTTGATTCAGAGGGAGAGTGACACAGGTGTAAAACAGTCTAAATTATAGACATTGGAAAGATAACTGAAGGGGCTCATGCAACAAAAAGTTCAGACATGGCAATCCTAAATAAAAGTAATGACAAAAGAGAAGCATCCACATGTCTGCATGTAAGATGTTCTAAGAGATTTATAGTCCAAGAAAATGAAATTTGGCAAGAATAAAAGTCCTTCTAAGTCAAAGAAAGGACTAAAATCTCCTTACAGGTAAACCATAATTGTTTATATATAGAGGAAGGAACATTCCTGAGATATACCACACAAGTAGCAAGACTTTCTCCACTGAGTTTCAGCAGTCAGTTGAAATTCCTTACTCTGAGGTCACTAATCCGATAAAGTTCTTCTGTGAGAATTCCAAAATGGCTGATTCTATTTATAAAATATCAGATAAAAGCTCTAAAAGATCGATCAGGTCAAAGGATAATGTAATTCTTTGATGAAAATATATAGGAAATGCATACACCTCCTAAGGATACAACAAGGACGAACCAGCGTATATAGATTAAGGTACGGGGTCTAAGAATGTCAATTTCATGGCAGCTAAATATAGTCGCAGTATAAGACCCTTTACAGTCTATTCCATAGCTGTGAGGGAACCTTCATTGCAATCGTCTAATCTGCTCTAATTTAGCAACAATCCTTCATTCTCACTAATTATGTGTTTTAGTCTAAACCCCTAGCCGTGATAGTTGTCCAAAGCAAGAAGGAATCCAAATAAAATATCCAGAAAAGGCTTAAGATCAGGTAAAGACACTTTATCAGATTTATACCGTATAGGCCTCTTTGAATCTATTTCCAAAAGTTTTACCGATGCTGTCAGGAAGCAGACTCCGCAGAAATCTCTCGGGTATCAAACTATGAACGGATTTTATAGGCAGAAAAGCTCCAGCAGTCTTGGTCCTAGAACTAAAAATGCTGCTAAAGGCAGCATTAAACGCAACTACAGCGGCAGGAAGATTTATAATAATGAAAATCAGCATTGGAAAGGGCTGAATCAGACTCAGAAGCTATATTCTCCCCAGAAATTTATTCCCTCAAAAGACAGTTATAACGAAGCAATGAATATCACCGATTATGATAGTAAAACTAGGGCTGTACACTCGAGCTTCTCGGTAGGGAAGATATACATCTCAAAGAAAAGAAGTTTCAACAGCAAATCCAGCTTGATTAGAGATAAAAAGCAGAAATATTTCACCAATAATCTTAGTAGCCATGGGAGCCAAGAATATAGTGCTAATTATGGGACAAATAATCTTCCGAGGTCATATAACAAAGCCAAGCTTGCCTTTCAGAAGTACTCTAAGCTAGTGAAGGAGTCTGGATGGGAGATCAAAAAGAATGGCTTCAAGTCTGTGACAAACACTTAGAGAGTTCTCCCTTCTCAGTTCAATTAAGAAGATAATCAAAGGGGTTTTGGGGTTTTGGGGTTTTGGGGTTTTGGGG